GGCAACACAAAACTATCCCGTGTGCAATACGCATTGTGCAATCGTAATAATTTGACTGTGCACTTACGGAGCAATCCAAGAGTTAATCTCTGTAATAACATATCTGTATCTGAGGCAAAGGTCTAGGGGGTAATCACATAACGCCAGGAAAACACAAACGGATTGCTATTGCTGAGGAAACTCTATGTCTCAAGGATGTTATTCTAAACTCCAAGTAATGTTTGTCTAATTATCTTGCATTTAATCGTCTGTTGTTAGCTGGCAGTTTAAACTGAGTTACAAATCATTGCTGAATGCTGATTGGGTATAATTGTTTTTACGTCATGGTTTAGTTACGATGTGACTTGAGATTTTAGACACTGACTCTTGCGTTTTTTGGTTCAAGGTTATAAAACAATGCTTGCCATTTGGTGTAGACTAAATTGAGTTACGTAACTGGATGAACTTTGATTCCAAATAGAAATTTGAAGTTCGGTTCAATACTGAGGGAAATCAGTGGGCCTATACCATTACGAGTATTATACTATACAAAAATTGACCCAGCAATACGTGATCATCACGATGGACACATAGAACATCGCAGTCTTAATTAAGTCATAGATGGTTATTGGATATTTGATAAAAGTACACTACAGGTTTGACTCCACATTAAACGTGTTAACAAAATTGGGTTTTTAACCAAATCTTTATTGACTAGCGGCCAGACTAGAGAGTTCAAACCAAAAATAATATGTTGTCGTAGATGTGCTGTAAGATATGTATTTAATACTTGACAGAGCTGCGTTTTGAACTTCTGATTTAGTATGTACTAAATTAATTAAAAACTAAAAACATTTCATGAATAAACCGTAGTCAGACTATGATAGCATGTCCCATTAAGAACACCTGGTAAGGAAGCCATGTTATACTACAAACAAAATCATAGTGTAGAGTAGCACTAAAAATACTCTGATACGTCTCAAACAAATGTTTATTCTTAGCTCGATACGTAACCGCGAATATTGTTTCCAAAATAGAAATCCGGAAAAGTTCGGTTCAATCATGAGAGAAATCTGTAGACTATTTTATACTATACAAAAAATTGACCCAGCAATAATACGTGATCATTGGGATTTTAATCAATGATCCTATCTAAAAATAACTGCCAATCTAAAACAATACTAAGAAGACAATATCACAACACGATGGACGCATTGAACATCGCAGTCTTAATTAAGCCATAAACTGTTATTGGATATTTGATAAAAGTACACTACAAGTTTGACCCCACAATAAACTTGTTCACAAAAATGGTTTATTAACCAAATCGTTATTGACTAGTGACCAGACTAGAGAGTTCAAGCCAAAAATAATATGTTGTCGTAGAGGTGCTGTAAGATATGTACGGTATTATATATACAATACACGACAGGGTCGCGTTTAAAACTTCCAAATTGGTTCTAAATTACTAGAAGATTTAATAATTTAAAACATTTCATGAATAAACCGTAGTCATACTATGCTATTATGCCCCTACTAAGAATCCCTATTAAGGAAGTCATGCTATAGTACAAACAAAATTATAGTGTACAGTAGCACTAAAAATACTAATTTGTTTTCGTATAAAGGAAATAGATGCGTCTCAAACAAATGTGTATTCTTAGCTCGACACGTAACCGTGAATATTAATAATAGTTCCCAAATAACCAGTACAGATCACGCATAACCACTGTTACACTAGAACATCTGAACAAATCTGTGTAAGCCTTCACACAATTATTCAACAGGCGTCCTTCAGCCATCCCATTATGCAGTGAGGTAACCCTATTTAAATAATTACACAACCGGTGGATTCCACAAGGAAGCAGATACCTAAGTCACAGGAAGTAACCCAGAAGTAACAGTTGCAGTAACCAGTTACTCCGGAAGAACTGGACGCACGGTTGGTCGGGAGGCGCGCTGAAAGTAAAAGTGACCTTGTGAACTAGGCCGGTTACATAATCTTGTGCTTACTCTGTGGCCTACGTGGTCACATTTCATACTCTGTGGAGAAACCCGGGCAAACAAGTGTGTAACCGTTCTGTATTTGGAACAGTGATGCATTGGAGTCAGGATTTGGTAATGAAGAAGGACAAGTTAGTGTTATGCGCAAGCATTAATGGAAGACTTACAATTTTCTTTATTAACGTTTTGCATGAAAAATTAGGTTTTGAAAATACACAAAGAAAATATTCACATAATCATATTACTGTATTACCACAGCGATTATCTTAGAACAGTATCCTTTAGAACTAAAGTGGAATGGAGATATCCTGTACAATAAGTGGAATGGAGATCTTGGTTATTAACTAAGATCAGCAGTTTCTTGTGGTTTCAGTCAAAAACCAGCTACAAAACGTCAACATATCAAGGATAGCTAGGGCCATTTTCGATCTATCCAAAAGCTACTGACTTTTCTTAGGCTGGCTTCCTTTTGACTGATATGTGAGAACTATAACCATTGACTATATACTCAGATTTTAATTATTCAACATTCAGTGGAATCTAGAGCAACTTTTACACCTCCTAAAAATATAAATATACTGTTTGGTTAAAAAATATCAAACACAAGCCGCATCTATAAGAAAATGTTATCCTTTGGTACCTTATCAAATTTATCCCATACCAACTAAATAATCTAGTAAACGTGCCTTATCACCCAACAACTTACGACTTAACATGTAACTAACAGTTCGTTGACTCTTCGGGGTCAATACCACATAAACTCCAACAATCGTTACTATAACTCCTTGTCAATCAGCTGTTAGCTGTAGACCTTTCCATTAGACTTCTGTGCCTTATCTGATTTAATAGTCCCGAGGAATAAATAGGCCTACCTCACTACTATAAATCGACCTCGTGGTTGAAAAAATCTAAACACTTCGAAAGTAGTATTTCAAAAAGCGATAACCAAAATGTCAGCTGAGATATATGGGGAGGTCGCTGCCCCTCTGGAGCTAGACCGTGGATGATCGGGGAACAAAAAACACCAGACGATACCGCATTAACCCCACAAAAGATCCGAGCCCTTCTTGTTTTTGTTTGATACAAGGATTTCACCCGTGCATGAACACAAAGAATAAACACGAATCAGGTGGATTCAGGGTTTGGAGATTCATGGTCAGAATCGGAATCATGAAGAATTTGAAAGATGAATCTTGATGTGGTCTGGCTAATAAGATGCACATGAACAATCAGAATCAAAGTAAGAATGTAAGACAAAACGAACAAGAAGAATTGAAATGATAATGAGACTCAGATTATAAAGAACAATAAGGACCAATATTGTAATTACACTTTGAAACTTAGAGAGAGGAATAATTGCTATCATAATTATGAAGATAACCTAACCGTTACATTGTGAATAAGAAGAAGTGGACTGATAATATGACGTAGGAAATCATGAACAATAGATAGGTATGAAAATCAAAATTGAACTTGGGAAAATTTATCTGAAGCAATAATACCCATAAAAAATATCTCTACTTGTACATGTTAAACTTTCTCAATAAATAAAGGAATTAAAAGCATGCGGTGTGTAAACATGTCCTATACAAAGGGGCGATCAATGTTAATGAGTTTAAAAGCTTATTGTTTAAAGAACGCCGGTTGGAGAACTATTAATAATAATTAAGAACCAGTTTTTTCACTTAAAAATTATTCTATTGTGTCAACCAAAAAGGATGGGTTTAAATTAGTTTGTCTAGTGGGTTGATTTTTCATATAGCATTACTGTGAGCTTTTGCAACATATCAAGTGTACAGCTTTCAGAGGAAAGAGTTCTTCGATACAAAGACAGATACGGAGACAGAGTTGTCTCCGATATGTAATCTTTATATTTTAGAGATTCTTCTTCTTACAGCTTTAGTGGTAAGTTTTACCACAAAAGTTTTACCATAAAGTTAGACTGGCTAACAAACCACAAGTTATCATCTATCTAAAAACCTTTTCAATGGACTTTGTCACACCAATATCATGTTGGAAAGTGTTAAACAAACTATTTACTTACTAGTGAGCCATAATTGGCTTACATCACATGACATACTGACACGCTTCAGAACAACTCGCCTATTGTTTTACAAAAAAGACAATAATACATTCAGCTTGTTTTGTTACCAAAGCTAATTGAATGTGTAAAATGTATAATGGAAAGGTATAAACGTCAAGTTTAAATGACAAATGTAAAGATCGTACAATTTGTGGATGTATGAAGTTGAATTTTACAGATGTGGATTAAGTTTAACGGTTTAACCTACTAGTCTTTTAGCTAATATGTAGTTTTGTAGGGGTCTAATGGTTGACATAATCAATGGTAAGCATGGCATCTAGTCAATGGTAGGACTATTGTTAAGCAATAAAAGGTAGGTAGGTAGTAAAACTAAATACGAAACCCTTAAATTTACTTCTCTTGAATTATTTACGTAACCCTCATCTGTACTACTTTTCATACTGTATGCCTACTACTACCATATTTTGACTGTAATAAATGCTTGTGCTCTCTAAAGTGGTTTGGTAGATTTACAATCATGTTATATGTTACTCTAAACACTTCATACTACTAACAAGAAATAAGCCACTAGATTCAAATTGATTCAATCGTTCGAAATATACATCGATATGAATAATTATCAACGCGTTAGAAAGGGATGGCTTATACTATTGCATTCAATCCATTTTCTATTTGAAAGAGTACCCTTGGCAATGTTTAATTGTATTATTATAGTACTTCATCTGTTATATTAGCAAGTCTATACGCAAGACATATGATTTTTCCCTTACAACATAACCGGTTACAGTTATGTCATAGCCATGCAAAGACCAGTAGAGCTTTAACAGTAATGCTTTAGTATGCAATAGTCAATGGTTGACTAGTAAAATTTACTTTCGAGAAAAAATCATTCTTCGTAAAAAAACAACCTGGAAAAATAATTTACTTTAAAAAATTCTTTCGTACATTTTTTCCAAACAAAAAATCTACTCACGTGGATTCAGCGCGTAGCTCAGCTGTTTGACGAATCGGCTGATCCTGACGGCAATAATGATGACGGGGAACCCCACAAGTTGTACGGGGAGCTCAAAGCCCCCTCTTTGGGGGCTGGGGGCCGGCATGGCGAGGGGGGCCGACCCCAGTACCAGACACACCAGCACCGTCCGTAGCAACATGGGCGCACCTGGAGAAAGTTGAACACCGACTGAGGATCTGATCTGACTAGACTTGAGTGATACTCTGACTTTCAGTCACCCCCTCCCCCACCCCCTAGTCATGACTATGCATCACTTGCAAGTGTGGGGTCGAGGTTCTCACGTAATTTTGGGGTCTAATTAGAGATGTCGTTAGCCACGGGGCATGACGGGCGAAATGTGAGAAGGAGTAAACGTTGAGAATTTGGTTTCTGGTTGGGTAGAGAAGGGGAGATTAAAATATACATGGGTTTAAAATTTGAATAAGTTTTTCTGTTTTCGAATTTTGTACTGTTTTCCAACAGTTTTAAAATATTTCGCTGAGAAAATTATTTTTGTTACTTAGATTGTTCCTTTATTTGGTGAAAAGATCAATAATGTATAAGCATAGAGTCTTGTTATAGAGACAAATACTGAAAGGTTGAAGAGATTTATAAGTACATGAAGCCAATGTAAGGGTTTTACTTATTCTCACCAACTAATTTGGAAATAAATAGTCTTTGAGATAGTTGTCTCTTGTCCCAACAACAAATGAAGTATAAATACATACACACATCTCAAGCTAAGAACAATATATCTGTACTGTTTCATGTGCTGTGGCTTTTATCCTTTTTTCCCTTTTTACATTTTGGCAATTAAGTTTGTTGGGGACAATTGTATTTTTAAGTTGGCAAAACAAGTTAAAATATAGCCGAACCTCAATAAGTAGAAACAGTTTATCTTTTATTTTTGTATGTGATTTTTTAATTGTAGTCTCCTACCACAGATCAAACGAGTAATGTAGGGGTAGATTATTTAGATGGACGGTGATTTAAAAATAGCTGGTAAAATATTGACACTTTTTGAATTTAAAGAAATACATTCGTCTTTGTTTAATGTGCTATTTTTACGATCATACATAGCTGAGAATTTAATTCTCTTTCTGCTATTCCTAAAGTTTTCTACTTTAAACAATGTTAAAACTAGGAAGTACGCTGTAGATATAGCTGGACAGAAATATTTTAGTTATTCTTTGTACAAAATATGCCTTAAAAGATATTGTTAAAATCTCCAAACATTTCCTTAATTTGATGTGCCAATCCTTTGGTAGAACTATAGGGTTTCGTGAAATTTGGCAGAAAATATTTAAAATAGCCACCATTTTGAGACGGTTGAAGAGTTTTATTCTCAATATAAAAAAAAATATATCGGTCAACAGGATGAACATTTCTGCAGAATATCATAGCTGTAGACGGTTACAGAATTTATGAATGTTTTTTTCTGTAAAAAAACACATACAGGCATACGCTAAACCAAACGAGATAGCACATGTGTTTATGTAATCGTTTTTATTTCCTTTGACCCAAGGAGTCACGTAACTTATGACGTAAATTATTTCCTTACCTTTTTGAACACCCTGTATAGTGGCTATAATATATTTTCATTAGATCCCCTACCAGTTTGAACACATTTTGTACACTCTTTTACAGTTTTAATCAATTTCGTAGGTCTTAATTTATTTTCTGAAGTGGGTGTAGCTTGTAGTTTAAATAAAAGAAATACACATACAAAAAAGGTTTAAAGCCAGCAGTATTTGTTTGTATGATATCTTTGTACTATCTTCATGCAATTGTTTGATCAATATTGCCGGGAATAATTTAATTGTTGGGTTGTGATTTGTTATTTACAAATATGTAAACTTATATAAATGTCAAGAAACTTCATATTAATTTGTTCCATATTTATTTCTTTTGTACCCTCCTTCTTCCTCCAAATTATTTTAAGCAATAGTTTATTGTGAAGTATATTTTGAGTTGAGTTGTGTTTTAGTTTTTAAAGATAATTAAAACATACGCACTAACTTTTTCGAGTAGAATCTGAAATTTTATTTGTTGTTTGTTGCATGTCCATTTTTCTCTTATTTATGGTTAAATGTCAGAGATTTGGTTATACGAAGTTTGAACATATTAGTTTCTACTTGATTGTATTTCATAAATAAAATAAAATAACTGGTTATTTATAGAAGGAAAAACGAAGGTAAGTTAAATTACTTACTAGAAATAACGTCCTTTAAATGTCTTTATATGACTCATAAAGATGGTACAAATAGAAACAACTATCAGATATGATTATGACTAATCTTTCGGCTGATCTAAACTTATATAATACTCAATTTACTAAAACATCTTCACCCATCAAAACAAAAACTCTGATGCTATATCCTAGCACCTACTTTTACGAGTATTAAATGTAAAACAAAAGCTATATTAGTGTTACACATACAACCATTCGTAAACTTAACAGTCACACATAAACTGTCACTTCAGTAACAAAGTGAAACCCACTCTTGATACACCTAATGTAACCCATCATTTGATTATCATTTTACGCATGAATGTTGGCTAACTCATCACTTGATATCACTTTACGCATGAATGTTGTTTAACCCATCATTTACACATTTAGCCGCACTCCACAGATTGTATCATACATTAAGGTAACTTACAACCTGTCAATTACACTTGTAATTCGTAAATGGAAAGGTAATATGGTCAGTGAGCTGGTCAGTTGTAAACAGATTGTGAACGGTTGAAAGCCGTTTTGTGTACTTCATTAGGTTTATTCGATCAAACCCAGGTGATTTGGGTAAATGTTGGTAATGAAGTGAGTTTATGTTAACCCACAAGTGAAGTGAGCTGTTACCCACGGGCTTCACCCCGTTTGACTTCATAAGTATTAATAAAACTATTGATTGGTTAAGATAAGCTAAAATAAAGAAACGGAATACAGTAATACGATTAAATAATTACACCTGATTTTAATAAGGAGTAAATTGAAAGAATAACAAACAAATAAGCACAGCTGAGGTATTTTTAACATTAGGTTTATGGAAAGTTCCCTTTAGAAAGGAATTACGACCTTAAATGGCAATTTATGAAATAATGGATAGTTTTGCGCAAGGTTTCTCGTCATGACGAACATTTTGAGTACAGTATATGGTTTATGGGGGTGTGACTTGTAGTTTTCTCAAAAGTTCATGGGTACTTTGGGATTGATATATGGATATGTAGTTGACGGTTTGAATTCTTTATACAGTACCACGGAGGTAATGTGGTATGTAATTTATTGTAAAGGTTGTTGAAACATTTTACCTTCTAGAAAAATTGTGAAGAATGTGTTTCATAAGACTTGATGTAGGTTCACTCGTCGAAAAGATTTTTTCTAAAGTAAGTATATTTAGTTTGCACTCCAATGAGAATTTCGTAACGAAATTGGCAATATTACAAACGAGAACACACGCTACTCTCGAAAATATATAGCAAATATTACACTAACGACGTTTGCTATGCTTTTTAAAAACTTTGCAAAGCAATAGGCCTAAAGTATATTATTATAATTCTTCACACTGAGTTAGTGTTACAATAATTCTAGTAGTACAATTTGGGTACGAATACAATTGTTTAGTGTCTTATTAATATTATTAAACTCCTTTTTAAACATCTTTTATTCCCTAATGGTAGTTTCTTACTTGATAAATATTCTTTGTCTGATTTAGGTAGCAATAGATCATTCCCATTTTATCACGAAATTGCCAATTTATTTTAAATCGTCAACAGAGTCCTAGAAAAATAAAAACTTTTATGTTAAGTTAATACCAGAGTCCTTTAATGTATTTTGCAAAATTAAAATATACCGATAAAAAAGAAATGGTCGTATTCCGAAATTCATCCGTGCAAATTTTGCAAACAACTTAAGTACGAAATGGTTCACAGCTACGTTCTGTGTGTTGCGGTTGATAGCTTTGAAGGCGAAACTAGATAAGTTCAACCTTTCCATATGGATAAGGAGTTTTCTGGTACTGTAACGATTGAAGAAAATACATTTATCATTTGATTCAAGTCTATTAGATAATAACTTGTGAAATTAACTGTCTATTGTTGCAGAGCAAGATATAGCCCTCTCATTCATCGCTGCTTTGTCTGGGCTTTGGAGGGTCTAACTAACCCACTTGGTAATACTCTTATGGGGCAAGCGTTCACTATAAGATTAGTTCTCTGATAGCTCTGCACTAACATAAATAATTAGAGACCCATATCCTTACTCGGATTTGAGGGTTTACCGCACACAAATAAATTCCAAATTAGTTTAACCTATAACTAGGTGAAACCCGTCAAAATCGACGGTTACTGTTGAGGTTTTAAGCAAAATCGAACTATAAATTGATGATAAATAACTCTTTTTTTACAATTTGGGTTGTTCGTGATTCAGCAGTGTGCTTTTTTGTATTCAATAACTCAAATTAAACCTAAATTATAGTATTCCGCTGAAGGTTCTAAGATCAAAGCATATAGAATAATATAATTAGAATGGAGTAAATACTAAAATTAGATTCCATATCCGAGAACTAATGACATTTATGTTTTTTGATTGAGCAATTCAAAACGTGAAGTGAAGTGAAACGTGAACGTGTGAAGTGAAATAATATATAAGTGAAATAAAGGCACCGTTTGACAAAGCAATCAAATACTGTATTGTTGAAAGCACTGCGAATGCCTACAAGCGTTTACAGAAACGCTATGTAAGATGCATTAGAGAATTTGAAGGCGAAACTTGGTAAATCTGTTTACTGTCTTAATCTGCAAAGATTATTTTTAACTTATGTTTGAGGAGTTGAAAATTAAAATAACTCCCATGTTTATCCATATTTGAAGAGTTGAAATCAATTTTGGTAAGCTTAATAATTGTTTAACCAGATATTTTAAATAGATGTTTCTGTAAGGGATTTAGGTTGTACTGATACCTCTTTCTGTTTTAACATTAAAAAAGTTAAAACTAGATAATGTTAAATATTATTTTATACAGTGGTATAAACAGAAATAATGTTTTAACAAAGTTACTGAGGTATGGGTTGACTCTCTCAATGACAGCTTTGGTTTTCAATTCCCTAGCTACAGTATCATATTTGTAAATTCCTTTTAAATGCTTACAATGAAATTACTGCTGGTGACTTATGGTTAAGTGTATCTTTCTTAAAATATACTCTCGGTTCGTAACCGAAAACTAATCGTTTATCTACTATTTTGATAACAATAGGTTGCTTGAATATAGTGATGTTTCCATTACTCTGATTCCAAGGCAAATTTGATCTAAAACAAGTATACTCTAATAATTCTTTCTCAAATCGCCTAGATGATATTAGAATCAGTTCAATGCTAGAAAGGTCATACAAATTCCCCACTCCACAGCTGCACCACAAATATAAACTTTACGCTAAACACATGTTACAACAAATCTACACCAAAGGTCTCAATATATCGGTTTTGCAGCGTCAACGATATAATTAGATAGTGACGTCACTCGGTTTATTGCACTAGGGTTCACGTGTTCTCCTTTGTCGGTCGCTGAATATAGCTTGCAGTTGTAAATCTACTTTTTTGCCCAAGTTTCTGTCCAGATGACATTCCGGTTGGTTTTAATGCCAACCATGTGCAGCTCTGAGTGCATTCCTTGCATGCAAGTTGCGAATAGTTGACGCATGCTGTAATGGATAAAGTAAGGATTAGTGGCATTTGTCTCGTTTTTTGTTTTTTTGTACATAAATGAGAGGATAGAGTGTAGTAAGTGAAAAACACGTGTTATGGAGAGGTTAAAAGTAATTGTGCAGTCTCCAATGACTATAGTTAAATGTTTTAATTTTTCATCCATCCTACGCTCATTTTTGAGGCAGCCCCTTAGAACATGTATTTTTATACTTTCTAAAAAATACTAAAATATAGATTCATATTCCTAGATTTGGTAAAAACACAACAACAGTGTCTTGACTGTATACCACCTATGGTTAAAAAGGGATTTGAATGATTTGAGGATGGTTAAATTTACTTCAATATTATGTTAATTTCAAAAGGTTTGTGTTATTTTTCGACTGGTGTCTTCTTAAATGCAATGTATTACTGGCGTTCAATATTAACATGATAACAATCATTGAAATATTGCGAATATGTTTAGATCTGACTTTAGAGATTTAAAGTGCCTCTAATTCTTCAATGATTAAAATCATAATTCAATCAATGAAACAATCACTGTGTAGTGTTGAAATTTTTGGGTTATCTGATTTATGACGATTTCAATTTTTCCAGTTTTCAAAAAAGGACAAATACTGTACCAAATCAGTACAGCCTTTTCAGAGTTTTATCTCATTTCAATATTCTCCTTTTTCGAACCTATCCTTACGAAACCTGACCTAATCCAACTTATTTGCATTACCTTTGTTTGCATAGAGCAAATTTCATAAGAGGCAGCCCTCATCTTGTCTCTACCCAAGGGTGCCACCCCCTTCATTAAAAATCAAGCCAAAAGTATAGCGAAAGGGAAAAGAAAGCCATACAAATTTGCAAATCATTCTGTAACAAAGTCACCAGCGCATGCGTGGAGATTACGTCATGAACTGCGCAGACTTAATGCGTCGCTAGTTAGTGGTTTGTCCGCTAGTGAAAGTACAGCGGTAGTGTGCCCACCACTAATGCTACCTGGTGGCAGTTCTCGTAACTAATAGATTTGGCGGTAACGTATTGTTGTCAGATAATTGCTGTCTCATTAGGTAATGCATGAAGTAATGGCTCGAAGCCAACCATTGTTTTAACTTTCCGCACTCTGCCGCAGATGAGTGTTTTGTAGAAGCAAAACAGGTTTACTGTTGTAAATTCAAATTGTATAGTTTGAAACATAGAAAACATAACTTCATTGAAGTAAAATATGCTTTTAGGTGCTGGTCTCAATGCATGGTCAAGACGAATCAATTGTATAATAGCTCTAATGATGGAGCTACTGCATGCATTAAAGGAGTAAGTTAGTGGTGGAATGCACCTAGTTTCATCTTTATTTAACTATTAGCATGCTATGCGTAGTAATGTTTTAATTATGTAATACTAGACGAAGATATAGATGAGTTAGGTTAAAGACTTACAAGTATCTGGACTTCTGTTTGTTTGATGGCATTAACTAGAATACTCTTAATTGTCATTGCTTAAGAAGATTCCTGGTATTTCACTTGTATTTAGGTCTTGGATCAGTCAATGCGAGTGCAGCGTTTGTCATTTGCGAGAATAATGCCATTTAATTTGAGATCTGTCAAGTGATTTTTGTAATTTATTAAAAATCTTATAAAAATCGCTTGTCAGTACAAAGCTAAATTCATTTAACTTTGGAGTTCATTCGTCTGGCATTGAATGTCAAGTTAAACCTTTAGCCAGGTGCACACGCACAAATTTGTCTGTGCACATGTTGACATGTGCGCACACCTCGTTCAAGCGATTTTTGCAGCCCGAGGCTGTTGAAAAGCACAGTTCTAGCCTTACATCTAGAGGCTACCACCTATATTGTCTCTCAGTTTGTCTTAGGTCAAGACTCAAATAAATTAAAAACACGCTAGGTAAGTTTATTAAACACATCTTCGTCCCCGGCAATTGAATGCAATAACTTGATGATATTTAGAGTCATTTCTTGTAAACAGCATTCATCGAGTTTTATTTTAATTTTCACAGATTCTCTCATAGCCAGATCGTTGACCTAATTGTGTTTTGATAAGACGTAATAAGCGAAATTTTGATCGTGACTACTATACTCTTTTTGCTTCACTAACCATGAACACGAACAATTCTAAGTTCAATTCATTTTGTGAGAAGTTCTCTTTGTTAAATACCCACCATAGCTCCACACACACACTAAAGGAACTCCAGACCGACACAGTCAAATGTCCAAAAATGAATGCATAGATGTGCGCACTCGAAGTTCACCCACTCTAACTAACTTATGTGCAGTCTTGCCGACTTTTGACGTATTTTGCTCAAATCTCATAACCTCATGTCGTCTCACACATGGGCTTGAATATATGAACCTTGTAAAGCTTTATTGGTAAAAATACACAATGCTTTTAGCTTATAAAATACTTTTAAAAAGAGAGATATTTTATTCCTAAGAAGAGTGCGAAAACCTGAAAAAATCAAATGTAAATTTTTCGGGATTAGGTCAAGTACATGCTCTGTAAAATATTTTAATCTCATAATCAAACAACACAAGCAAATGATTCAGTAAAAATGATTTGGACGCATTCGAAAACATTAAAAATAAAAACTAATAAACACTAGAGTTAGTTTTCAACCGTACACTTTTTTACATTCTATGAAAACTAAAATATATCTTAGACATGTTAAAATCGGTTTTGAGATTCAAAATGGTAACATGTATTGTTTATTTACAAAAGTATTATACAGTAACTAAAAGATTAAACATATTTACATCAAATATACAAAGGTAAGTGGTGTCTTAAAGGCTAATGTATATACGATTGTTCAATTATTTGTATTATCTTGTAGTCTTTAGTAGGCCTATTGTTTTTTGCTGCACTGTATGATTTGTACTATGACTTTTTCGATTTTCTTTACAAGTCATTGTACACATTTTGCACGTGAAACTATTTCATACAGAACTTTCCAAATATTCAATGATGGGGTAAATTTCTACATATACACAAGTTAAAAATAAAATTATGGTATAAACTTTATGTATTCTATTAGACTATCTATCCGGCAAAATATAAAAACAAACTCAATGATCAAATAACGTATAGCCCTGTGGGGTTTTGAAATTGTTCAACAGTTAATAAGAAATATCTGCTTTACGAAAATCATATAAATTACAAAAAGCGCTAACTAACATTAAAATATCACTTAAAGCTTCCTTAAAACTACAATGTACAACCTGATAGATCAATGCACTTTGACTGAAGTGCATTTTTCACAATCTTTTATTTCTTGACATTCTATTTTGCAGTTTTATATCACACATGTAAAAGTGTATTACTATAACGTAAAGCCTTATTCTGTCAAAAAAAATATTTTTTGTGGTAATATAATCCAAGGTTCATAAACTATGTCTAGATTATAATGTTTAATATATGTCATTTCGGTCTTTGCAAAATTATAGAGCCTGGCTATATAAATTTATTTTCGGTGGAAGTCGAGTTTATTCACTAATCTGAGATGAACATGAATCATTATTTACCTTATTACCTTTATATTTTTTAAATTACTTCTGAGATATTCTGCTGAAGTGCAAATACATACAGTTATCATTTCACGTTTCATAAGGGAAAAGGAAAAACGTTTAGTAACGTTATTTTGTTATAAAACCGAAATGTATTCAAAGGCACATCTCTTTCTCTCTTTCCTTTCCAGTATTTCAATGTTATTAAGCCATCCTTACATTAAGAACTGGTATTTTAACAGCATTTCTTTATCATCCTTAAGTAATCAACTTAAAAATAAAAATTCTAAAAAGTTTCATCTAATATCTGTACAAGTATCTATATACAAATCACAGTCAGAAGGTCCATCTATGTAGATGGTGCGACTAGTGTCCAATTGTCTGGTGTGTCTAGCCTAGGAGGGTGGCTAGTGTCCAATTGTCTGGTGTGTCTAGCCTAGGAGGATGGCTAGTGTCCAATTGTCCAGTGTGTCTAGCCTAGGAGGATGGCTAGTGTCCAATTGTCCAGTGTGTCTAGCCTAGGAGGGCGGCTTCAGCCGGATGGCCTTGATCATGTTGAGTACTTGCACCCCCGGAAAGGGACACGATGGGTAGAAGTTGTGACATCCCGCACCATCAACCCCTGCGATCAGCTGTCCCATGTGTGCGGCGAAGTGGTACTTCGACGTCACCTCGGCGGTCGTGCTGATGGTCGTGTCACTGGAGACAAAAATAAACAGTTGAATTATAAATAAAATAAAACCACATAAAATCCTAGGTTGGTCTAGGAAAGAATAAAAAATTCTATGATTGTCATTGGAGAAAAAAGTAGGGTAGCATAAGCTATAAAGGCAGGACAACTACAGTATTTTCTATAAAAATACTTATACAGAACCCCTCCTCCTCCCACCTCCTGCTCCCCTGGCACCCCCCCCCCCCACCGCCCCTCACCCTTGTGTATACCTTTATGTAATAACTCTAGAATACGATTTTTGTCACTGGAGCCAGCAGAATAAGAATACAGACAATACATACGCAAAAAGTCGTCAAATACTTATAAATATTATAAAAAAATCTCTTAATTCTGATAAGTGTTACTACTGAGGGTAAAATAATGTGGTAACATAATATTAAATAAGATAATACAACATGTCTTGAAATACTTCAAATCTTCATACAATAACCCTAAAATGAAATTTGTGTCATTGGAGGAAAAATATTATAAATTAGCAAAAAATAACGATTCATGTAACTTCACAAAAAAAGATATTTGTATTTTGACATTTATATTTCACAGGTTATCTTTCTGTGTTTTTGTGGTAGATACATGTTTCAACATTGGAACACGTTCTAAAAATAATTTGTTATAAGTCATGAACCGCAACAAAACCAAAGAAAGAACAGAAAAGAAACTCTTCAATTGTACGGAATATAACTTGTCAGCTAATTCATCTTAATAATCAAAAATTTGCGCACGATAAAAACAAGTTTTGCCAAATTTGACCACATTAGGATTTCTCAATACCTGGATATTATAATATCAAAAACACAATGACACTAATGGTCTGATCTGTTAGGAACAAATGACTCTCGTGATTTCGAGGCCACGATGTTTTTGAAACGGTAACGATGATATCACATTTTATCAAGATCATCATAAAGGTTACGACACAAGTCGTTAGTAATTTGTGATGACTAAGTTGCTGTGTCAAATAATACAACCTGTGTATATTGGGACTGAGCTTGCCTTGATTTTACTAAAATAGGCAATGTAATGTAAACCCTCTGTAATATATCGAGAAAAGTTATTTTTATGATGAATTTCAAACAAAACTATTAGACACGATCACATAACCAAGAGTTTTTGTTGGGATTTGAGCCCAAGCCCTAAGAGCAGAGTAGTGCTTTTCCACTAACGTAGCCTGGCACCTTTAATGGGGATTCTGATTACTATGGAGGAAAAACTACACCAATATAGCAATTACATTTTTTAAATGTGAATTTTACTATAATATCTCATCAGAACCACAATAAGTAAGCGTTTGTCGTTATACGAAAAATTATAAAATATTGGAAAGATTTCTTCTTGGAATCCCATTTTGATACCGCAAAATGGGAAACTAATAGCTTAAATCATGTTTATCTTAACAAAGACCATTCAACCTGTCTGGAGATTAGGGAACATCTCCTTTGGCCATTTCCACTCAAAAAAATATAACAGACACTTTGTTTGCCAACATATTTTATCTGGTATCGGTGTGGATTGGACCTTTGACTACAAACAGAACTAGACATTATATTCCCATGTTAAAGTTGTCTCCAGTCTTTTGAAAAAAGTAGTTAGGTTGAGCCAAAAGACGGATTGGGTTGTTGTCAAATTCCAATTTTCATCGTGTACATTAATTTTTTAATTAAGTAGAACTGAAAAGATAACTTACAGTAATATATAGTAATAGTTTCTTGTATGTCACATCAACTAACTCAATATCAAAAATAAATGGAAAGTACAAGTGAAAAGTAAGGGGGCCCTCTGTTTAAGTGGTTCTTTAAGCTGTATTCTTTTTCTAATCAGAAATCAAAAGCTAGGTCATATTGGTAGTCTTAATTAGTATCCTAAAGTTAATGATAGTACCTATAAATAACTAGGAAATTCTTATTTGTACAATAGCTCCTACTATGAGTGGTTCTTTCACTTATCTATTTGGTTAAGACGTTTTCTACAGCTGGTCCAAAAAGAAAGAATTTCTTACCTGGTAACTAGTGCCATAGCCAAAGATATAATTTAATGAATTACATTACCTGTAATAGGCATATTCATGCAAATATATTGAATGATTTGTTTCCTTTATCGACTAAAGCTTTATTATTTTGGCCTTAAAGGCTAATATTGTATTCTTTATACCTTATGAGAGACAGAAGAGCTTTTTCGGAGTCTGAGAGCTTCTCTTTCTGCGGCGTCGCATTGAGCTCACAGATCAACTTGGGTAGACAGGAGTTCTTCATGGTGGACATCAACTGGGCTTTGGCTGAACGACCTGTGGACAGAACACGGTGATCAGAGCGAGCAATAGCTGGGGGCCAAGCTTGGCTTTGTGAAGTGTAATGGTAATCAACGAAAGGCTTTGACTGAAGTGAAGCCATATATCATTATAAAGCTTGTCTGTGTGAATAGGTATAGTGGATATCAATTGGGCCTTGGCTGAATGTTTTCTAGTTAGAACAAGGTGATCACAGCGAGCAATAGCTGGGGACCAAGCTTGGCTTTGTGAAGTGTAATGGTAATCAACTATAGGCTTTGACTGAAGTGAAGCCATATATCTTTACAAAGCTTGACTGTGAGACTGTATGAATAATCTAGATATCAATTGGGCCTTGGCTGAATGTTTTCTAGTTAGAACAAGGTGATCAGAGCGAGCAATAGCTGGGGACCGAGCTTGGCTTTGGGAGGTGTATTGGTAATATACATCAACAATAGGCTCTGACTAAAGTGAAGCCATATATCTTTACAAAGCTTGACTGTCAGACTGTGTGAATAATCTGGATATCAATTGGGCCTTGGCTGAATGTTTTCTAGTTAGAACAAGGTGACCAGAGCGAGCAATAGCTGGGGACCGACCTTGGCTTTGGGAAGTGTAATGATAATCAACGATAGGCTTGACGGAAGCGTTGACATCAGCAGGCTTTGGCTTAAGTGAAACCATATCTAAATGTATGTGTATTTTTCTTAAGCATAGCTTGGCTGAGTAAATTATTATAGTAAACATCAATTGGGCCATAGCTGGATAATTTCTGTTTAAGACAGGGTGATTAGAGCGAGTAATAGCTGGGGACCGAGCTTGGCTACGGAAATAGTTAGAGTTTACACATTTCACGTATTCCTGCGAATTCTGCTCCACGATCTGGGCCAGAGAATAAGTGAAACAATAACGAATTGATGAAATAAAATTGAATTTATAGTAATAACTTATGCGATTGTGTTTTGTGACATTTTTAATGGACGTAAAAAAGCGTTACTCTAACATTCATTGTTTAATAGAAGGATACATTTTATCCTCGTTATTCGTGTAGATTAGAATGCAAACTATATAGAAACAAAGACATTCTATATGCAAATTACAACAGATAATCATTCATCGACACCTTTTGTGGTTATATAAATTAAGGAAAACAAAACTATAATTCAAGGAAGTTTGCTGTCAAGTTTAAGGTAGGTGTGAGTCGTCGAGGTCAGACAGACAGCTGATTAGGATTATCTCAGCTGATCCAAGCTTACGTAGACAATTGCGTAAACAGCTGATTACACAAGTAAACAAACTGTGCTGATTATTTACTAGTAAAATTCTGTATAAGCAGATATGGCCTTTTGTTGGGTATCTCATTATTCGTTAACAGTAATACTTTTTTCGTCCTACCGCAGCAAAAACAGCAGTTTTTAATACATGAGCTGGGGGTCTAAAGTTGCTTTTAGGCCTAACTCGATAGGGAGTAAAAAGCCTTTTTAGACCCTAGGAAGTCAAAGTAACTTTGATTGAAAGAAATCGCATGTATCGTAATTATATATCAATTGATTTAATTTAATCTGTTGATTGTTACAGTCTTGTCAGTTATTCGATATATAGACAACAATGTATATAGGCCCCTGAATATGTGGTTTGACCTAGAAATAATTAGAACACAGATGAAACCATTGTTGTTCGATAGTGAAAAGTATTGTGAATAACATATCAAAAGTCTCCAAAAATATCTTTGGTGGAACACCACAATTTTTCCAAAATGGCGGCCAAGTCCAGTAGTTTTTTGCTTTTTATTGAAATTCTGACTTTCCAGTCAATATTGGTGAAAAGTCGTCAATACATTTAATGTTCCTCCTGAAATTACCTTTAAAATGATACCAAATACATGTACCTACAACAAAAAATAAACCCCGTAGAAATAATAAAATATTTCAATTAAAAATTTCTGTTGTAAATTAATGTAATAGTCCAAGCAAACTAAAAAAAAACCAGACACAGGGATCGTATAAAAATGTTCAAGTAAACATGTTATGGTTTTATTTTTATTGTTGTGGTGTGCAGAGTGACATACCAAAAGTTGCAAAAATCAGTCCACGGGAAACCCCTAAATTAAGGATAAAATGGCGGCTTTTCCCAATATTGGACAAATTTTGCAACAAAAGATACCACATGTTTTTTGCACATTTTTCGAGATATTGACTTGGAACCACGACCGATATTTATTGGATGGTCCGTACTTAATTTCAATAGGGAACGATTTTTGGGCCGCCATCTTGGATCAGCCATATTGGATCTGCCATATGGGATATAAATATTTTTTTATGTAATTATAGTGTTGTGACACATCATTATGAACTAGATTTCCACGCTGATTTCAATGCTGAAATCCGTTTTTAAATAAGTTTTTCGTTGCTTAAGATATATTAAAACGAAAACTTTCCCCTATACATCAGTTATGGACGTATCGTAAGTTACTTTGAAAATGTGTTTGGATTATTTTTCTCCAGGTATTATTATTGCTTGCAGTTCGTTCTAGCCTTAAAATATTCAGTGATAAAAGATCTTTCATTTTAGTTAGCTTTCATTTTGTTTTATTTATAGTTAAAACAGACTAGTTATAGACGAGGTACAAACCCCTACACAAAATTAAATTAAACGCGTAGTCATTAGACAGCATTTGGATTACTTTGGCAGATCCAGGTAACATTATACCTTTTATAATCTAAAACAGTAATCCTGAGACAAGAAACAACATGAAGTAAACTTTTTTTATCAGTTTTTGTTAAAAGATTTATATCCTGGGTTGTTAATATGATAACAAGTTCGTTCTGGTATCAAAGTACTCAGTAAATGTTTGGCTTTAATTTTATTGATTATTAAATAACACATGACAAATTTAAAACGAATCATGTAGGCCTACCTTCAATGAACTATTGAATGAATTATTGTTATTTTGAAATTTGTCTTTAGTTAAAGACATTTATCCCCAATTCTAAATAACTCCCAATAAGAAATCCATAGCTAAAATAAAAGTCAATACTTGAACGAATAGCTATGATGAGTTTTTCCCGTTATTTTCACTCTGCACAACACTACAAAATAAAACCATAAAACGTTTTGTTGAAATTTTTTAAAGGCCATATCCTATATTTATCTAAATATAATTTCCAAGTTACACAGTTACAGTTATTTATAAGTAAGTTAGTCATATGTACCATCAGTCAAACACCACTCTCAATCTGTTGGATCTGCTGGTGAACTATTTCCACGCCATACTTGAACCTGATAGTACAACCTTAGACTGTGGTAGTTTTCAATGTGTTTTTAAATTGTCAAAGTACGAAACGTCCATAAGAAATGTATGGGGAGAGTTTTCGTTTTTATATATCTTAAAATCGTAAAACGCTATTTCAAAAACTGATTTCAGCATTGAAATCAGTGTGGAAATCTAGTTCATAATGATGTGTCACAACACTATAATTACATTAAAAAATATTTATATCCAATATTGCAGATCCAATATGGCTGATCCAAGATGGCGGCCCAAAAAGCGTCCCCTATTTAAATTAAGTACGGACTATCCAATAAATATCGGTCGTGGTTCCAAGTCAATATCTCGAAAAATGTGCAAAAAACATGTGGTATCTTTTGTTGCAAAATTTGTCCAATATTGGGAAAAGCCGACATTTTTTCCTTAATTTAGGGGTTTCCCGTGGACTGATTTTTTGCAATTTTGGTATGTCACTCTGCACACCACAACAATAAAAATAAAACCATAGAATGTTTATTTGCAAATTTTTATACGATCCCTGTGTACGTTATTTTTAGTTTGCTTGGACTAATTACATTAATTTATAACAAATATTTTTATTTGATATATTTTATTATTTCTACGGGGTTTATTTTTTGTTGTAGGTACATGTATTTGGTATCATTTTAAAGGTAATTTCAGGAGGAACATTAAATGTATTGACGCCTTTTCACCAATATTGACTGGAAAGTCAGAATTGCAATAAAAAGCAAAAAACTACTGGATTTGGCCGCCATTTTGGAAAAATGGTGGTGTTCCACCAAAGATATTTTTGGAGACTTTTGATATGTTATTTACAATACTCTTCACTATCGAACAACAATGGTTTCATCTGTGTTCTAATTATTTCTAGGTTTTGCAATTTATTTTCTTATTTTAAGGCGCCTAATACCAACACAATCGTAATAGACGAAATGATTGAATCACTTACTAAACAACTGCCTGTTTGCTTGAACAAAATTGAAAACAAGTTGGTAGCTGTTTTGAGGAGTCATCTTTCTTTCCTTGACAATTATTTTAGTTTTCTAACTTAGTTTGTTAAAAATTATGCTGCAATATGACGAAAAATATAGTTCATCAAAGTGGCAAAAAGTGTCTTTTCAACCTTCGCTCATTTTCCGACCTCGGCTTCACCTCCTTTGGAATTAGCTATTTTTTGTGTCGACATAAAAAACTTGTCAATACAATAAAACAACAAAATGTACATAGTACTATTGAGGAATTTACTAAATAAAAGGTACACTTGCCATTTTACTGGTTGAATAAACGTTAGAATATTGTGTAAGCAATAAAACAATTTCAATAGTAAACAATTTAGGTGATAGTATAAATCACAATAAATACTTTTAAATCTCCTCCCACCCTCCACCACAAACGTAAGTCAAAGCGCATGAAACTACCATCAATTTAAAATCTAAGTCACAAAATCCTACAACTTTACAAATCGGTTATTTAACCTCACAAATCGCCAAACCTACGTAACGCACCCCTTCACCACATAAACCCCAACTTACGCAGTACTTAGTATGTGGAAACTCTTTCAAACCCTGACGTAACCTAAAACAATGACTGAAGAGCTCCATCGAGTGGTCCTACTCGATACAAATTTGTGTGGAAACCCGAGTTTCGAAATCGAGAAGTTCTAAACGCACAATAACCTGCAGACCATCTCAAGGTTGCTAGATGTAGGTCGTGCAACGGTTGCACAAGT